CATGCCCACCTCACATGGTGCCCTCTTGTGACCCTGAGTGTCTGTGTGTACAGGAGGGGGCTTGCAGGCAAGGAGGGCCCATGCAGCTGGGATCACTGGGTCCAGAGAGGGGCTTGCACTGGACACAGGCCAGGCAGGCAGCTCACCTTCTGCACTGAGCAGGAAGTCAGTGGAGTCAGTGCCATACTCATTCTGGATGACGCACTGGTAGACACCACAGTCCTTTCGGGACGCCTGCACAATGGCTAAGGCTACTTGCCCCTCATCGCCAGCGCTGCAAGAGAGCAGAGCTACCTTGTATCAAGCAGCCCTGCCCTGATGAGTACCACAATACCAGCCAGGGACACAGCCCCCAGTACACCAGGGCTACACACACCCGCCCCTGCCTCAAAGAGCTTGCAATGGTGTCATGAGCGGTGGCATCTCTGGAATATATTGGGTCCTCCAGAACTTTCTTCCTCCCCAGCTCTTCCCAGCCCAGAGGGTTGGGTTTCCTAACATCTGACTGGGCACTGGGGGATTTTGCCTTCCTCTGCAGTGCAGGGCATGATCCTTTTCTGTGGATCTCCTGAGTGTATTTTAATGAACTACTACTTGTCCTTGCAGTGGCAGGACATTGGCAGTACCCTCATCCCCCTGCTTTACTGGTGGCAAGTAGAGTGTTCCTGATGGTTTTGAGGCATTGTGCCTGGTAGTTATGTGGGAGGATTGTTCATGCAGTTTTACAGATAGGGTAGACATAAACTTATCTAGGCTGGTTTAGCAGGGGGCTGGACTAGAGGACTTTCTGGGAGCCCCTTAAGCCTGACTTCTCTGTGATGTTGTGACTTTGTTAATAGGAGGCACCATCACCCTCTAAACCCTGAGGAAGGCTGTTATGTTATCAGAGCCTGATAAATGCTGAGTGCTGGGCTGAACTGAATCCATCAGCCAAGGGCTCCATACAATGGGTGAAACACAGAGACAGTGGCAGGTTACCTCCTCCTGGCTTCAGCGATAGGCACCTCATCCTTGTACCACATCAGCTTGGATTCACTCAAAATATTGAAGAACTGACACCACAGCTTCAGGTTTCCTGATGCATCAGAGAACTGCTCTGGCCTGATCTTCCGTATCACCTGGGGGGCTATGGAGAAGGGCAAAAAGAAAAGACTGGTGGTAAGACAAGCTTCCCATGCTGTGGCTCCACTTCACATGCTCCTTGCAGGCGGTGTTTGGGCCCTTGCTACTGGATGGTTCTCAGTCGATGCCTGGGAAAGGTGGGCACCTGCACAATCAGGACTGCTCCCCAAGGGCTGGACCAATTCCTATACATGTGATAGGAAAGGAGAATCCCCCTCTGGGATGCGCAAAGCATTTGGTTTCATGCTGCACAGCAATGAAAGGAATGGACAGATGCACTATGTCCACCTGATGGGTCACTCATAACACAGAGGAGCAGCATGGAAGTTTGCTTGGGAGACCCTATTTTCTGTGAAAGGTGCCACAGAAAGTTGCCAGGTGCTGGCACCCCCGCTCGCTGCTCCTGACATGATGACTGGTACTGGCAGTGGCACACTGTTTCCCATGGCTCACACTGGCACTGCCCTCACAGAAGAGGGATTAGACAGTGACACCCACATT